CAAAAAGAGCGACACGTCTCTACAGCACCAGGCCTCAGCCAGCAGTGACTGCACAGGCGTTTACGCAAACATCCGTACGTATTATTTCAGAAATAAAAATATGCGATTTAAAAAAAAAAACTATTAGTTGGAATAAAAAATTAAAACACTATAACGTTAATATGTTGAATGTATAAAAATCTGACAAAAATCAGAATGATTGCATGTATACTAGTATGGTTTTTACTTGTTAAAAGAAATTTTTAGAGGATGTTTGTGATTTTTTTCTATCGTATTAAATTAGTGGGATCATGTTTTCAACACACTATCTAACCAGCATATATCCTGGACAATATCATATATTTTTCTGGGTTTGTTTACTGCAGTGGATCATATACTTTGAGGCATTATAAAACTTGTGTTTAGGATCATGCCTCGTCATTATGAGATTTATAAAGCAGTTTGTCGTATATGAATATAGATTACATATTTTCGGATTTAACTACTAAAATTTTTGTGACAGTCCCGGTTACATAGCTCACATGAGTAAATGAACAGGTTCTTATGAAAAAGTACTATAAATATCAAAGAAAGCAAAAACACTGGTTTATTTTAATTTTACTATAAGAAACTACTAGTAGAAGAACTATAAGTAGAACTGCACTGGTAGAATCTTGAAAGCCATCTGTATAAGCCTCTAATCAAACCGATCTAAACGTAAATTTCTTAGTTGGTACGAAGGTGGTAAGCAACTCAAATTAGATCCGCGCTGACTCCACTCATATTTTATCTGCAATTTGAAGTTTCAATTTACCACGTTCTCAATGGTGAAGAAAAACATCGCAGGAAATCTGCATATCTGAGATGTTAAAAAAATATTTCGGAAATCATTTTTAGGTATAGGTATGTGAAGTCGGTCATCCAGCGTTGGATTTAACTTAACCAACTCCTTTTTGACCTAAACTCGCTGTGGCCTGTGCCCAGTAGTGGGATGTATTTAGGCTCCTACTTTTTACTTTTAATAGGGCTTCCCACTGCTGATCATAGGCTTCCCCCATTGTATGACAAATAGACCGGGTATTTGCAGTAGTATTCACGCTTGGCAAGCGGTTTGGCAAACGCAGCTCTTTATTACTTTGCGCTGTTATCAAGAAGATGCTACCCATCTCCTGTTTCAATTTCCTCTGTCACCTCTTAAGACACCCACGGGATGAAATGGGATAGTGGTTTTTTTTCGTCACCTCTACATGGCTAATGTATTATTTCTACTCCCGTTCATCAATTGGATTTCCAATAGTTAATAAAGTTAATAAAGTTGTATATTTGCCACAGTTGCCACGCTCGTCATGCGAGTTGCCAACTGCGTGTTTTTAATATTTTGAGCTGTGGTCAGGAAGACGCTGCTGCCCATCTTATGTAGATTTCTGCTCCGGTTCATGAATTTAGTTCTTCTCACAAGTTCTCCGTGAATAGAAATACATTTATGAAATTTTGAAGTCTAATCGAATGTAAAAAATATTGGCATGTGGTGCCAATCAATATTCAATGGGACCAATATTAATAAAGACCATGAAACTAAACCTTATTTCATCAAGACTATATCAACTTTAATAATGAATATTATGTAAATAACGCATTTCCAATAAAGCACAATTTTACGTAAATAAAGACACATCGGAAGCCCGATATAAAAAAAGTGTTGCATGACGTATGATATTTACGCGATTCTGATAAAATAACTTATGTGTTTCTGTAGCATATAATGCAATATAGACACAGATACCGACGTGTCTCTACAAGTGATCCAGTTTTGCTAATTTTAGTACGAAATAGTATTATCGATGTTTTTAAATTCAAGCCCACGCGCGCGAAGCCCCGGGTAAAAAGCTAGTAAATGAATAATAGTTATTTTGCAAGAAGCAAATGTGTTTTAAATAGGTTTAAGTGTTCCTAAATAAGGGCATGCGTTTTTAATACCCCTGCTAATCCGAAGGCTCGGGGCTAGTGCTTTGGCCTCCGGTACACTATCAACTTTCCATCTGATGGCTAATAGTAAAGTTTGATTAAGAAAATTGAATTTAGAATCCATTTAAAAAAATTAAATTCTAGAACCACGGCGCAACGTGTTACGGCTGCAGCACGTATGGGTCGACTAGGTCTACTCGCACACAGAATATCAGCGTCAGTTGGCAGCATTTTTTTCTGTGTTTCGAAGTGCGTTTGACGAGAACAGAGACCCTTTTCACTGGTAATGAGGTATTACATATTAGTCCTCAAGGATGACAATCTGCATAAAATAAAGTTACAGACTATTTACGTCCCAAAGCTAAGCTCGGCCTTCCCTCATTTTGAGAGGGTTTAATGTAAGGATGCATCAGGCTCGCTGCTTCATGCAGCCTCGTGCTACATGTAAAAGAACTTGACAAGTTTTGAAGTATTCTTTAATTTAAAAAGAACAAATAGATCAAGTTATAGTTTTATATTTAGTGTACATTAGCAATACATCAATTACAAGAGCAATTTTTAACAAATAATCTCCTTAAAATAATATATAGATAATTATCACGATTTCTATGAAATATCTCTTCAAATACGGTTGAACGTTAAAAAGGCTCAATATGAAGCAAAGAAATACCTTAAAGGGACGCCTTATATTGTTGAAGTGCAGATCTTAAGACTCAAGCTGCATTCGACTGAGTGAAGAACCCACTTTGAAACGAGGTGACATAACACGCTTGGTTGGCATCTAGGTTTAACTTCGCTAATACACAATATACATCCCAAGATATTTTTTAATTAAAGTGTCTTTATTACATACATACACACTTAAACTTTCACGCCTGTCAACCAGAGGGGTAGGCAGATATTGCAGTTTTCCATTTAGCGGATACTAACCATAATAGCATAAATGCAATAGTTTTTGAGAAATATTTTACTGATATTCCTAACTTAACCACTAAGTCACTGAATTCTTCTCCTACCGTCGCCGTATCATTACTTAAACAAAATGTAAATGTGTGTACAAAGAATTTTACATTTCATAAAGTTTCATCAAAAGATATTGTAAAATATTTTAAGACTATTGATATTAGGAGAACCGCCGATCGGTGGGGGATTTCTGTTAAAGTTATTGCGTCTATAATAGATACAATCGCACCTCAATTATCTATTATTTTTAATAGTAGTATCAAATCTGGTGTGTTTCCTGATTTAATGAAGCATAGTAAAGTAATACCTTTATTTAAATCTGGTAGTACATTGGACCCCGCTAATTTTAGACCTATTTCTGTACTGCCAACACTTAGTAAAATTTTTGAAAAAATTATTCTTGATCAATTGTTAATTTTTTTTTAAATGTAAATAAATTACTTCATAAAAATCAATTTGGTTTCACAAGGGGTCGCTCGACAACTGATGCTGGTGTTGAGCTGATCAAATATATATTTAATGCATGGGAGAATTCACAGGATGCTTGGGTGTGTTCTGTGACCTATCCAAAGCCTTTGATTGTGTTCACCATGAAACATTAATCAGGAAACTTCAACACTACGGTGTAAGAAATGATGCTCTTAAATTAATTATTTCATATTTAAGTGACAGAACACAAAAACTTGTTATTAATAGTATGAGTTCTTCCGGGTCGATTGTACAAATGGCCGTGCCTCAGGGCTCAATTCTCGGCCCCTTTCTGTTTCTTGTATATATCAATGACTTACCTTACATAGTAGGGGATAACCATGATATAGTATTATTTGCTGAATACTGATACTTCATTAATTTTCAAATTAAAACTACAGTTATTAAATTACGACGAAGTAAATAATGCTATAGCTAAGTTAGTTAATTGGTTTAATGTTAATAATTTGCATTTGAATGTAACTAAAACTAAATGTATGAAATTCGTAACTCCTAATGTTAAACATGTCAATACTAATGTAATTTTAAATGGGGAGGAACTGAGTCTTGTTGATACCACCATTTTTCTTAGAATCACACTGGACGCAAAGCTTCAATGGCTCCCCCCATATATCAAAACTAGCTAGCAGACTTAGTTCTGCAGCATATGCTATAAAAAAGATTAGAACTCTTACCAGTGTTGAAACAGCTAGAATAGTTTACTTCAGTTATTTCCATAGCATTATGTCGTATGGTATTTTGCTATGGGGACACGCGACTGACACTGAAATTATATTTATTTTACAGAAGAGGGCCATTAGAGCAATATATAATTTAAAACCAAAAGAGTCACTGAGACAAAAATTTAAGGAAATTAATATATTAACTCTGGCCTCTCAATACATTTATGAAAATGTAATGTACGTACACAAAAATAAAAGTAGTTTTGCGAAAATAAGTGATATTCATTCTGTAAATACTAGGAGCAGACACAAGCTGGTAGTACCAGTTACTCGACTCCACCGAGTCAGTAATTCATTCTTGGGGCGATGTATACGCTTTTACAACAAAATCTTAGAAAATATACAAAATTTGTCATACACAAAGTTCAAAAATGTTATTAAACTAAGTTTGTATAAAAAGGGTTATTATAATATTAAGGAATTTATAGATGATAATAACCCCTGGGAAGGGTGATTGCTACCAAGCTATTTCTAATTTGTCTTGTGTTGTTGATTGTAAACATGATTGTAAGCTATTATTAAAAAAATGGTCCCGCTGGGTTTCTTGCTGGTTCTTCCCAGGACAGAGATTTTTTTGCGAACCAGTGGTAAATTAAAAAAGTGACTTTCAGTAAGTATTTTTATAATCTACATTGAATAAAAAAGTTTCTATTTCTAATACGTGTCGTATAATCGACGGTGGTATGTCTTTCCTTGTGTAATCGTGTTGGAAGTTGTAGTGCTAGGATTAGTGAAATAGAGGAGCTTCGTAATGAGCTATCTGATATGCGGCTTGTAGTGGCGTGGGGCAACAAAACACCTGCTCCACCAACTCCTCGTATGCGAGGAGACAAGGAAAGTGAGGAATAGATAAGTTCCATTATGCACCAAGTTGGTGACATGATGAATTCGCGATTGGAGGTGCTTGAGGAGCGGCTTCTCCCAGAAAAGCGTGTCCACATTCCGCTGGCTGCTGATGAGCGCAGAGCTGTAGTAAATGATGCAGACATACTACGACGAAAAACAAGAACAGGCAAAAAGAAAATTCCCGCGCTGGAAATACAAAAGGGAAACAGAAAGGGAAAAGGATACGAAGAGAGAACCATAGAAATGGCAACTAACCAGCTAACAGAATCTCGCCCTCAACCCCAAGAGTCCACATAAGAAGGCTGTACCACAGTAGTGAGAAGAGATAATAAACGCAAGGCAGGAACTGTCAATCCTTCCAAGAGACCAGCGTCTGTGAAACTGTGCTCTCCAAAATCCGCGGCTGGAGTTATAACACTGTAGTCCGGGACTGGAGATCGTGGTATCGCATATGCAAAGGTGTTGACAGGGGCTAGAAAGAAGATTGACCTTGCTAGCCTTGGTATCGAATCTCTGCGAAAGGCGGCTACTGGAGCCCATATTTTGGAGATACCAGGAGTAACGAGTGGCGATAAATCTGACTCCCCTGGCTAAGATATTAAAGGAGTCGTTGCCTGAAGAGGTCGCTAGAGTATCTAGACCAAGGAAATGTGCAGAGATGCGCATCTCTGGCCTGGACGACTCTATCAGTAAAGAGAAAGTTGTCGCCGCCATTGCACAGCAAGTGAGCTGACCAGTACCTGCAGCCAAGAAAGTTGAAGGAGGCGGGCGCCTTTTGATCGGATGGGTGGCAGAACAGGTGAAAATATTGCCACCTAGACCATTACGGTGCTACAAGTGTCTGCATAGTGAACATATGTGTTCCCAGTGCACTTCAGAGGTGGACCGTAGTACACTTACTTTTACATAAAAGGGATATTAATTTGAGTGATGACTCAATTTTCCATTTCAAAATACTTTTCAGATTTACTAAGCATGCCTTATTATTTACATTGGAAGCCATTAAATACAATGAAGGCTCTTTTATTTCGATTGGTTTTTTTATATTAAAGAATAGAATAAAATCATATTTATTCAGTATTGATAACATGTAATTCTTATTGAAAGCCATTCTTTACTTTACCACTGGTTCGGAAATAATCTCTGTCCTGGGAAGAACCAGCAAGAAACCCAGTGAGACTATTTAAAACAAAAGGATAACTAAATATAATATTTATATACAAGCAGGTATATTACAAGCAATCAGGTCCGGCTTCACATGAATGATTTTTGGAATTCAAAAACAGTGCCACCTACCGCATCCATTTGTAAATCTAAACCTGTTTAATAAATCATTATACATAATGGGTCTGACCACCCAATTTTGTTAAGGGTATTAAAAATTGTATAAAAAATTACGAATTTAACGGTATTTTTTTCTACCTATAAAATGCCTAAAATATTGATGAGTAAAGTGGTGTTTTACGGTACTGGCGACCGCTTTGCTTCACACCGCGATGTGACGTCACAATTCGACACGCTCGCTCATCGCTCAGTCGGTCGCCTTCCCGCCAGTCTGCTATAGGTCGTGCCACAAAAGATGAAATAAAATAGAGTCCACTGCGCATGTACAATCAAGCAAAAAAATGAAAATTTTATTATGGCATTTTAATATGTAAAAAGTCAAAGGTCAACATTATAACTACACATCAAAGTCTCCATGAAAACTGAACGATATATTTATATATCATCGTTAGGTTTTAACTGCTTCTAAATAATACTCTGCATTTTATGTACACTTAGTTAAAGAAATAAAATATTTTGTATTTGTGATTGCTGTTTAAACTATACTATGCGATAGCCTTCGATTATAATGACATTTTATATGCAATGATTTGCAAAAAAAAATCATCTTGTAGAAAATAACAAAATATTTACAACTTTATACAATATACTACGAATTACGCTATTTTAAATAGTCCCAAAATAATTTATAAAGTAATAAATATTTGCACACTATTTGAAAATATTATAGAACAGTATTTTAAATGTACAAAAATAATCGCAAAAGTTTAAAATTTTATAACAGGTATTCGCTAACACTTTCGATATCGACAGTACACAAGACGACACAAGAAGGCGCGGGCGACGAGACGCAGGGAGTACAGAGTACAGTGTAGTACTATTATTTATTCTGTGGTACAGTACAGTAACTGACATAGCCCAACGTATTAGTAAGCTGAAGTGGTAAGGGGTCGACCATATAGATCTAAAAACCGAAAATCGATGAGGAAAAAAGTTTAACTCGAGTGGCAGTCTCGTACCGGCAGACGATGTGTATGGCGCCCCCATTAGATGCAGTGACAACCTATTAAGACAATGAGTTGATTAAAGGAGGAGGTGGGGCTATGTACATCTGTGAACTTATATAGGCTGTGATAGTTGATTAGACCTCGGTATTTTCTAGGCTAAAATGTTTAACTGTAAAGTACTTGTCACTACGAAATATCGGGAATAATCAATATATCATCGGTTCGTAGTTTTTTTTTCATAAAATAAAAATAAACAAGGAATTAACATGATGTAAGTAGCTACTACAGCCCACGAAAATCTAAAACCCACTTGAAACCAAGATTACCTAATACTACTATTACTGTATACGACCTGATATACGACTAGCTGTTTATATCCTTCACTTACTCTCTACTTCTCTACTGAAGTTTGGCTTGAGAAAAGACGATATTGTAGCTAGGCTGGTGAGGCTTCTAATATTAGTTCTCATGCATCAAAACGTGCTGCGGCCTTCTTTGTTTGAAGGCGGTTACGATGCTACAACAGTCCCATCCAATTAGCATTGGGTCAGCAGTTGTACAAAGAAAATAGTAACAAACTTTTATAATTTAAAAACATATTTTTATAACAGTGTCAGGTTAGGAGCTAAGCGTCCACCACAATACATAATATACGTGGTGGAGCCATGCTGCAGGTAGGTAGCACGAATGAGTCAGATCATCAGCTGGTGATGGACGGTGAACGGAGATGTTGGTCGGTGACGGAACAGTCGCGTTGTGACCGAGTTAACTTATATATTTTTTGCATATACTTTTTACGGTCATGGTATGGAATGTTATATTAGGTAGAGACCTTACTTCAATGATTAAAAGTTATGGTGTTAGTCAAAGAATCAATCTATGGTAAGAATATTTTTTACAATAACGATGTGACACTGATTCGAAAGAATAAAACAAAAAATTAAAAAGTTAATAGCAGCAAATTGTACAGCGGTGCTACTTTCTAGAATTTACAGTAAAAATTCCACAGGGCTTGAAACTTGGAACAAACAGACAATTTTACCTATTAAAGATATATAACTAAGTATATGTCGGAATAATTGTTGATGCAATCTTCAGTTAGCCAAAATATTTTGTATAAGACTAGGGTCACAACTAAGTACACAGTCCACCTGAATGTTAGAGGTTACTGTGGCCTCACGACTCGATTAAGAATCAAAATGCCAATGCGTTTTCACCCCCGAGGTCTTAAATGGAATGGATGAAAAAATATGATAACGGTTCTCTCCACTCACCATACGAAGTATAGCAGCTATACGCTGTTATTTTACACTGGTGTGTTAGAGCGTGTCCCTTCTGCGTTCCAGCTGACCCATCCACGTTGCAACCATAATATACATGTAGCGTATAGCAACAATTTTAGTGACAAATTTTATCGTTTAAAACTGTTATTCAACATTTTGTACGACATTTCTGACTGCTCGTCATTTAGGGAATAAAGTTCGTTAATTACCAAAGTTTTGACAATCTCATCTGCGTACATGTAAGGTCCGAACTTCGGGATTTTCGGGATAAAACTTTCATATATGAGGATAAAATTAAATATTTCATGATGCCAGGAAACTCGAACTAGACGGGTTTAACGATAATGAAAGAACTTATTTAAACTATCGATAAATGAATTTTAAAAATGAATGAAACACGAAAAATTATATTAATGTTATAGATATATACTTATTATAAAGGCCTAACTCTGTGCGAAATATCGCAAATGTTAAAAGTCAAAGTTAAAATACTTAATTCAGTTTAAAATTATTTAAAGCTGCTTCCGATTAGTGAATTTTTCAACCCAATCTACTGCCAGAATAACAGTGCTGCGGTAATTTTGATCCTAAACTTGTGCCGAGTCGATAGTCGCTTTGTTGCTGCAGCCCTAGATTAAATATAAGTTTTTTTCTATTTAGTTGAATTTCATTTTCAGTGTTATGTTGTGGCTACGAACAGATATTATGTTCTTTCCCCTTGTTTATTACGATTCCAAAAGCCAGACAAATAAAAAAACACAACAAGTAATTTTTAGGATTGCTGCATGTCCCATAGTACGAGGGATATGTTATAACTGCTACTTTTGACGTACACATTTTTTTTTTACATTTAATATATACGTACCAAACAGAAGCAATCTGTGGAGGACTGGAGGAGGCTTACGTTCAGCAGTGGACTCTGTTCTGTGTCTGTAATGATGGTGATATAGCAGCAGGGGTCACAAGAGGCTAATATGGTCAATTCCAGTAAAATATTACTTAGGCCGGAGACGCACAGCAGCATGAAACATATGTGGTATTGCGGGCGTCAATCGTGCTGCATCAAGCGCCAAGCGTGTCGATTAAAGCAAACTCTCATCCCCCTCACAACGGGAGAGACCCAACCAAGTATCCATACCTTAATCGTTCCTTATCGCACGTCTGTCGCGACGCCCTAGGGAATAAATATTGTGATACACTTTTTTACGCCGATACCGCAAGGCAATGTGTTTTTCTCAGGCTGGCATGAACTTTGCAATTTGACAAGTAACATTTGCACGAGGCATTCTGCATAATCCCATCTGAATATTACATTGTGTATATGCAGATTAATGGTTACTGTATATATTTTCAGTTTGTCTAATGTGATAGACATATCTGCATACAAAAGATCTCTTAATAAAGAGAGAAAAGCAAGCCAATTATGTGAACGTATGTTGCTCGATTCGTAAAGTATGAACAATATATATATATATATATATATATATATATATATATATATATATATATATATATATATATGTACAAAGTACACAACCCCAACATACCGTTATCGCTTACGCTCGAATGACGTCCGGTTATTGATGACATGTCAATTAATCGAGCTCAGATGCCCACAAACGCCGACGGATTTTCCGGTTTTCTACTGCTTCTTTCATCTTGATATGTCAATATGCTAATTTTTTGTGAGAATCCATCCTTTCTAAAGTGTTATGAATATTAT